GTGCGAGTCAGTGTGTCTGTTCCGTGTCTCTCCTTGTGTCTGTGTTCATGGGAGCGTTCGTGTAGCGGTTAGCACGCTGCCCCACGAACCCGGCTAGCCGAGTTCGATTCCCGCTCACGACCAACACAAACACCGGTGATGATTGTCGAAATCGATCTTGGGCCTTCTCTAGGTTGACTCGGCCTCAAATGAGTACCTGGTGCGGTGTGGAAACATCGCCACTCGAGAGACAAAGGCTGCCGGGCGCGGTGCTGGCCACCCAACCCCTCGTGTGCCGTGCCGGCCTTTATAGGTGCTAATCTCTAACAGTACTTGCCACAACATTTCGCTGAGGCTATACGGGGGGATCTTTGTCTTTGTTGCATGCCTGCCTTCCTGATCCCCACTCTCCCCCCCCCCCCGCCTTCTTCTAGTCACCCTCACGCTCCAATAAATTTTGCACATTTGCACACACGCCCCTTCTGTCGTTTGCATTTTTTCGTTCCCTTAATCAATTCAAAACGTAACGCATCAAACTACCGGCGGTTAAAAAAATGTTTCGCTCCGCGCCGCAAGTACGCAAACGACGACGCGGCGGCCGGGTTCCAAGCCCAGCGGGAAGGAAGCAAACCACCTACCAACCTCCCCCAGCCCCAACCCCCCCACTTTAACCCAACCTCCCCCAACCCCAACCCCCCCACTTTAACCCAACCTCCCCCAGCCCCAACCCCCCCCCCACTTTAACCCAACCTCCCCCAACCCCAACCCCCCCACTTTAACCCAACCTCCCCCAACCCCAACCCCCCCCCACTTTAACCCAACCTCCCCCAACCCCAACCCCCCCACTTTAACCCAACCTCCCCCAGCCCCAACCCCCCCCCACTTTAACCCAACCTCCCCCAACCCCAACCACCCCACTTTAACCCAACCTCCCCCAACCCCCCCACTTTAACCCAACCTCCCCCAACCCCAACCCCCCCAATTTAACCCAACCTCCTCCAACCCCAACCCCAACCCCCCCAATTTAACCCGCCTCTGCCCATTTTTAAACGTCGCCGAGTCAAGCGCGCAAATCAATTTAGAACTTCGCGATGAGGGGTTATTAGATTTTTTGGGGTCAGAACCACGTAGATATAAACGTGTCGTCAACCCACCATCGCCACCCGACGCAGCCAATTGGTAAGGTGTGCCGCGTCAATGAAACGTGCCGATCAGCTTAACACGTAGTAGAGCTTTCGCAAGCAATATCATCCATAATACAGGTTTTTTGGGTTCGATCGCGCAAATGTATAAATGTGTCGTTAAACTCGCCACCACCCCGACGCAGCCAATCAGTAAGGTTTGTCACGTAAACAGAACGTGCCAATTGGTTAACTAGCACAGCACTACACCGGTTGTGTGTTGGATGGAGAGTTAAAACCGCACGACAGACAATCATGATTCGAGGTCAGGACACGAAAGCCAAAGGCGTGGTGAGATGTTCAACTTTGCGTTATGCCGCACGGACGGCGACGGGTCAACGGCCCCCGTCGGGGATTCGGCAGAAACACGCCGAGGGCGTCCCCCCCCCCCCCCCCCCCCCCACGAGCCACGAGACCCCCCCCCCCCCCAACGCGCTCAGACTCCAAAGGTGAATTTTGTAATTTTCTTTGTACGAGACCCTCACCCCCTCCCCAAACAGCAGCAGCCTGCTGCGAGCCAGAGCCGCCGTACCCCCTTGCGCGGGTTCGTTATTACATTTTCCTTCTTTGTTGATTTTTTTTGCTTCAAAAGAGCTGTCGAGTTCTCCCACAACTAAGTGCGGCGGTGTCCAGAACGCTCCTGATTTGGACTAAAAGCCCCCCCCCCCCCCCTGCCGCTATCTGCACCCCCCAAACGGTCCCACGTGTACATCTTGCGTATCACGTGGCACGGTATCCTTCCGTCTGTCTGTCCATCCGTACGTCTGCCTGAGCGTCCGTTGGCTCCGATTGGCTGAAATGAGGTCATTTTCACCGTTGCCGATGGCAACACCCAAGCGCCGAAAACCTGACCGAAAAATCTGCTTTCCGCAGATTCCATTTGTGTGTCTAGTTTGACATCTTAGCGGTGTACTTTATTTTATTCAAACCGGGGAGAGAAAAGAAAAATAGTTCGATGTAAAGGTGACCAGCGACGGTCGATGTACGCGTACGTACGTTTCAACTTCTTTCGCACCATACGTGGCCACCCGTGCCAATCGGAGGTGCAGATGATAACAGGGAGAAAATAATAGTCAGGTCAAGATCACCACACTGTGAAATTTAACGGGCTGCTCGTCATATTTAAACACTACTTTCAGCCCTTTGCCAATCCGCTGACTAGATAAAGGCCTGCCTACACTCTGTGTCGGTCATCGGGGTTATTTTACCATATTTCACCATACTGGTCAGTGCGAGTTAGTGAATAAAGTGGGATGGTGGCTAAGAACCGGTTCAGATTCGGCTCGCCTCTGATGTTCACCACGACCCACAATCGAGCTTGGGTCACCGGGGTTCGTAGTGCCGTGTGCTAACCACTGCGCCCCCCGCCCCCGACCCCTCGGCCCCCCAGGGCAAGCAGTGTACGATAATGATTAACCTCTCACGTCCTGCGATGGTGTTTTGCTGCTCCGTTTGCGTCGCCAGGCCTTCGTTTCCCATTGGCCAGGGCCGTCGCGTGTCATCCAAACCCCGGCGACTCTGCAACTCTACCGCCTCGCGGGCAGCGCGACTCGCACCGCACACGGCGCTGAAACCGGACCGAGCGGCAACTGGCAAAACAACAAGTCCGTTCAATTACATTGAAAATAAAAAAAGTAACAAAAGATCGGGCATTAAAGCAGCAATTCTTAGCGATGTCGTACGAAGCAATTGCATCCCGCCGCCGTTTTTTTTAACGCCACACGGAACAAAACGTCGTGCTCCCCGAGCGACGACCCCGTTTTTTGTTTGTTCCCCCATTATCCGCGTGTCGATACCGCACCTGGGCTGTTCCACCACAAGAGGTGACGCAGTGGACAAGACACCGCGCCCACCCCGCAGAATGACGTTACAGGGTCGGATGAACGCCGCGGCACACGCTACGCGCGTCGTATACGGAGGGAACCACCGTGCGAACGCAGCACGCGGGGGGGGGCAAACGCGCACCGCGCACGTGCCGCGTACCCGTGCATGTGCAAACGCACGCGCAGGGCGTAATTTGTTTTTGAATTGCGCCCATCGGCCGTGAATGGAAAGGGCTGAGCCTAATGAAGCCTGCTCCCGCTCTGCGCGCACTGGCTCCCCAAACCCCCTCGGTAATTAACAACATAAATTTTCACAGCGGCGCCAAATTACCGCGCGCATATGGGGGGGCTCCACGCTCCGCCCTGGCATCGGGCATCATTATCCGGCATCAAGCGGGCGCCGGCCACGCGGATATTGGCACTAATCAAAGTTTCGCTCTCGCCAATTACGGCTCCTTTAAATTCAAAGCGGGGGCCTTAACCGAACAGTTTAGCGCTCACGCAGCGGGGATAACGCTGCCGCCACCGCCGCCTCCAATGCTCGGGCAAAAATCCAGCCCGGCGGAAACCCGGCGAGGCGAGCCGACTGGGATCGTCGGAGGGAACGCCGCGGTACGAGACGCCGGGGACGATGATGGCGGCGGTCAGGTGGTCAGGCGGTCACCTGGGCTCGGCTCGTCACGCCGGCCACGACGTTTTAAAGCCCCACCCCACCCGTGCTTTGCTGACGCGGGCGAGTTGGGATCGTCGTGAGCCGCTGCCCCCCCCGACCCCGCCCCCCCCTCCTCCGGGAGGGCCGCGCGAGGTCGATCAATAACCCCTGGGAGTGCAGGGGGTCGCCGGGGCCGTGCGTCCCTTGGGAGACCAGCGGCAAGGATCGCTTTTGATTTGTCGTACTGCTGCTGCCCCGCGCCACCCCACCAGGATAATCCGCTAGCCCAGCGTGAGCGAGAGAGGGGAGAGAGGAGAGAGAGAGAGCCGGCCAAACTGGGCTGGCCAAACGGGGCCGGCCAAACAGCTTGGCTCCCGTGGGAGATGAGCCGACGACACGCGTAGCCGGAGGGCGCTTGATAACGATGACAACGACGAGGACGATGATCGTGACGGCGACGGTGAAGACGAACGCGGGCCAGCACGCCGATAAATCACGGAGCATGATCACGCTCCGAACCCCGCCAGGTGGTTTGTATTCTTTCGGCCGTTCTTGTTTCGCGTACCTATGCGCGTGTATCGTTGAACTTCCTTCGCAACTGAATGTAGTCGACCGTGCTAATCGGAGGTGCGGGACGGGGGAGCGACAACAAACCGAATGCAACAAAAAAGGGGCGACTTTGCGACACTCGGTCCCCACGTTCGAGCAATCCGGCTGCGCCGGACTTGCAACGGGGTAAGAGCGAGGGGGACTGTGGCATGGTGATGGCTTGAGGAGGGCCTTCACCCAGCAGTGGATAGATCATGGCTGATGATGATTTGATTAAAAAAAATGTCTACCCGTGACAAATCCTACGCCTGTCGCTGCGTTTTATTGTTACTGTTGTTGTCGTTATTCGGCAAAGGTGAGTCGCGGTATTCGCATCAGGCCCGTGACTCTCTCGCTCGTGCGAGAGGCTCTCTTCTGATGGCGACCCGGCCAAAATGGGCAATACGGTAACAAGCGAAACAATCAAGGAAGCGCACAACAACAACAACGAAACTGTACAAATGGGACACAGCAAAAAGGAAATACAAGAGAAACTAAAATAAACAAGACGCATTAATTAATTCGTAAATCACGTCACCGGCCCTCAATCGTGCCGATTCGCCGCGGCGCTTCAATCGTCCCAGGGCCTACCCACTCTGCTGCAGCGCGGCACGCGAGACTCGGTCGGCCAGCGGAAACGGGCAGCGCCGCGCGGATTGACTCCCGAGCGCCGGGCGCCAACCGGACGTCGGGACGACGCTCGACAAAGGGGCCGCGACGTGCGCGTGTACGTGTACGCGCGTCGCCCACGCAATCTAACGACGCCCTCGCGCTCACCTCGGCCTGGAAACTTTTCAGCAGCGGGGCCACCAGCCTCTTCAGGTCCTGCAGGGAGACGGAGAGGAGAGGGGGGGGGGGAGAGAGAGAGAGAGAGAAAGCGCGCGGAAACCGTGAGCGGGCAACGCAGCAGAGGCGGTCTCTTCGGAACGGGGGTCCTTCAACGGCGTCATCGCGATTCGGGCGGCAAGAGAGTGCGCATCGTGCTCGTGCTGTCAAAGGGTGGCGGCCGCCTGGGTTCAAATCCCAGTGCCCTCACATCAAGCCCGGTCGTTGTTAGCTCTGTCACCGCCAACTTCGTGAGGAGGAGGGGGGGAAACCTCTCTAAAAGTTTTTCTTTTAACGCGGCCAAATCCGGCTCCTCCAAGGACTCATTCGGGAGGCGGACAGAGGAGCTTACCACCACCAGCTTCTCGGTCTTATTTTTGAAAACAGTTGCTGAGCAAGAGCGAAGAAGACGACGATGGGAGGGAAATCCGAGGCGGAGGCAATGCGAGGTGACCGGGAGTGTTTTTGATCCGCGTCGTGCTGGTGGAACACGTGGTGCGGATGAGATGAGGAAGGCAGACTCTTCTTGTGAGGCAGAAAGGATGGACATCTGCTTGGGGCCCCGCGACGTCGCTTGTGCATCACGGAACGATGTATGGGTGCAGACGAGCCCACAGCAGCCTAAATTATTTTGCCGTTGTCTGTCTGCCCGGCTGCGAGTAACACATCGCAGAGTCGGAGTATTTTTTTTTTAACTAGCGGAATCCGGCGAGCTATGAAGCTCTTTTTTCACGGATGTCCACTTGCCGTGCAAGAGAAGAAAAGACAAAATCTGTCCCAAAGAAAAGCCTGCGGTAATGGCGCGGATTTGCACAGGTGTGGCGGCGTAGCTATGGAGCGCACAGGTGGAGCAGCTTCACAGAGTAGAAGGAGGGGTGGTGGCGGATGGGGTGGCAGGGGGGGGGAGGCTTATGGAATTTGACGGGGGGTGCCCACGCCGACCGTGGTATACAACAACACAACGAATCTAACGCTAACCACGCTCGCCTACTCAGACATAACCACAACGCGAGCCCGAACCCCGACCGCGCCAGGCCCCGCCGGCCCACAGGAGGAACGCAGGCGCCGCCGGTCTACTAAGGGATCGTGGAAATTGGACACGGGAGAGGCGGCGGTTGCCAGTTGCCGGTTCCATTTCATCGTTCCTCGCACGGGGGGGCCCAGGCCGACCGCCCGCGTAACGCTCGCTTACGTGCGGCTGTGTTGTTTTTGTTTTTACCAACAAACAGCGGCGACGTCGGCGATCCCGCCGGTATCCCGTGTCGTGGAGGAGGTGAGAAGTGCCCCCTCACCCCCCCCCCACCAACGCCAGGATCGAGTGATGCCGCACCACGCTACTACGCTTTCCACTGAAGTACGCGGTGGAGTATAGATTATTGGGGGGGGGGGGCATGTGGTTTTAACTCCCTCCCGCGGCCATTCCTAAATACGCGGTCAGGATTCTACACCTCGTGCCCCACATGCCACCTTTCTGGGAAGGGAGGGTGGGGGGAGGCGGCTGCCCTATTTTAGAAAATAAAATGAGGGTGTGTGTGTGTGTGTCAACCCTGCTTATTATTACTCTATGTCTGGATGTATACGTTTCATATCTGCCAGTATGTCTGTTTATCATCAATCTACCAGTTTATTTGTCCATCTAGCTGTTGTGTCATAGTATCTGCTTGTATGCCTGTCCATCAATGTACATGTACGTGTCTATTGTGCCTGTGTGTCTCGATGCGTATCCATAATGCGTGTCTCCATGCAGGTGCTCGCCAACAGCACTCGCCAACAGCACTCGCACCCCAAAGCCTTGTTTGTGTCCCTATGTCCGACTGTTTACTACATTAGGCTTCCAGCAATTGTCATGGGCCACCCACTTCCTCCCGAACACGTTGTTCCTTGCAAAAACCTCCGTCCCGTCTCCGCAACGTCAACGTTCGCACCGTTCCGCCCGTCCCCGATCGCGCGAGCGTAAACATCTGCACCGTGCCTGTTGCGTTGCCGACTTCCACTAGTCGCACACGATTGATCCTCACACGGCACGACTCGGTGCACGTGCCGTGTGCGTTTGTGTCTACGTGAGTTTGCCCTTGTGTCCGTCTCTATTTGCTTGTCTGTGCCTGTCTGAATGCCTTGGTTAAGGCGCTATGTAAAGCCTCTACGTGTGTGTCTGTCTGAAGGTCTGTCTGACCATGTCTGTCACTGTCTGCCTGTCCCAGTCTCCATGTCCGCGTCTATCTACATCTGCGCGTGCCCTGCCTGCCTGTGCCCTGCCTGCCTGCTCCCCTGCCGAGTCCTCCACGCGCTGTCTGCATCTACATCTCTCCACGTCTGGACGTCACGCTCGTCTCCCCGTCACCGTGCAGCTGACGACGGGGGTGGTCTCATTCTCCATGTCCCCCGCTCTTCCTCCCTCCCTCCCCCCACCACTCCCCCCCCCATTTCCCCCCCTCCACCCACTCAGACGAGGGATGAAATTTCATGCCACTTTGTGTGCGCTGCCGATCACCTGCGGGCATGTGGGCTGTGACTGCCATCCCAGCCGGCCTCCCACTGGCCAACCCCCACCCAGCCACCACCACCACTACAATTCCCCCACCCTGCCACTACTCCTCCCCCCCCCCCATAAAAAAAATCCACCGACAACCGGCTCGTCGCGATAGGCGACAGGCGGTTTCAAAATAAATTTATAAATGTGGGTATACAGTCCCTGCGCTAGGTAACGAATGGCATTGCGGTAGGTAGGTGGGTGAGTAGGTGGGTGGGTAAGTGGGTATGTGGGTGGGTGGGTAAGTGGGTGGGTAAGTGGGTGGGTGGGTAAGTGGGTGGGTGGGTAAGTGGGTGGGTAGATGGGTGGGTGGGTGGGTAGATGGGTGAGTGGGTATGTGGGTGGGTGGGTATGTGGGTGGGTGGGTGGGTAAGTGGGTGGGTGGGTAAGTGGGTGGGTGAGTGGGTATGTGGGTGGGTAAGTGGGAAGGGGTGAGTGGGTGGTTAGGTAGATGGGTAGGCACGGCGGTACCGTTTCTACGCCACACGTGCCACCCACCGCCCTACCCTGCATGCACCCTGACCACATCGGGATGTCGGAAGCTAAGCAGGTATGAGCCTGGTCGCTCGGCCTAGGAGTGAAATTCCAACCAGGTGCTGCCAGGAGACTGGGCTGGCTGCGAGGTGGCTGGCTGACGGTAAACGGATTCTAGAATCCTTCTCCGCAGCGCTTGTGAGCGTTCACCACCATCCCAAATTGTTAACGGTGGAACGGGCCAGGCACCCGAATGAGGATCCCTCCTGAAAACGAGTCCTGAGTCCGTCTCAGTGAGGCTTTCCTGCACAATAACATTCACAATAGAGGGGACGACACGAGTATTCCTTAATGCAAAGCTAAAGTTCCCCACCCCACGTAATGGCCGTGCGTGGAAAGTGCTGCTTGCGGGCGCCCGTTCAGGTGTGCAAGGGGGTGCGTGTGTAAACCAGCACCCATGCTGGGCTGCCTTTATATCCCAAATGCTCATATTTAGACGCAACACACGGCTGGACCAGGGCAAGTTATGATGGTAACTCATTCCCGACGTTCGCTGCGTTGCCAGGAATCAAATCCAGGTCGCCGATTTCGCAGTGCAGCGTGTTAATCGCTACGCCACCGCTCCCCCCTCTCACGCGCACACACAGGTATACAGTACAAACAAAACAAACACTTATGGGGTTGTGTTGGCAGCAGTTTTCAAGGGCGAATCAAACACTCTCTGTACCACAACCGAGTCTAGAACAGAAACATTTGGTGTGCCTACGAGGGGGTGCGTGGCCAGCATCACGGCCGGCCGCCTTTGTCTCCCTTGTGGCAATGCTTACACATTGCACCAGGTGCTCATTTGAGTCTGAGTCGACCTAGAGGGGGCCCAGTAGCGGTTCAAATATTCTCCCCCTGTTATCGGCCGTGAGCGGGAATGGAACCGGGGTCGCCAGGTTCGTAGCGCAGCGCGCCAACCACCGTGCCGCCGCTCCCCACGTGTGCGCGCACACCCGCACACATGCACACGTGCACATATGCACACGTAGTACACATGCACACGTAGTACACATGCACACGTAGTACACATGCACACGTAGTACACATGCACACCCGCACACATGCACACGTAGTACACATGCACACGTAGCACACATGCACACCCGCACACATGCACACGTAGTACACATGCACACGTAGTACACATGCACACGTAGTACACATGCACACGTAGCACACATGCACACGTAGCACACATGCACACGTAGTACACATGCACACCCGCACACATGCACACGTAGTACACATGCACACGTAGTACACATGCACACGTAGTACACATGCACACGTAGTACACATGCACACGTAGCACACATGCACACGTAGCACACATGCACACGTAGCACACATGCACACGTAGTACACATGCACACCCGCACACATGCACACGTAGTACACATGCACACGTAGTACACATGCACACGTAGTACACATGCACACGTAGTACACATGCACACGTAGTACACATGCACACGTAGTACACATGCACACGTAGTACACGCGTAACAAGCTCACGCCGTGGCAGCAGCAGCAACCGCAATCCACACGACGGTTGCCTGCGCCTGCAGGACAAGCGACGTGTATCAAGTTTCCAGTGATTTGCATCGCCCTCCCACAGGGGAGGAGAGCAACATCGTCGGGGTTGACGGCCGAGTCTCTCACCTTGGGGAGTCCGTACGGCAGATTCCACCCAACTTCAAAGACAAAGATCCCCCGGGTAGCCTTCACGGGCTGTTTGGGGCAAGTGCCGCGAGCGGGCAGCGCCTATGAAGGCCGGCACGGCACAGGAGAGGTGCGTGGGTGGCCAGCACCACGCCCGGCCGCCTTCGTCTCCCCAGTTGCGATGTTTACACACCGCACCAGGTACTCATTTGAGGCTGAGTCGACCTAGGGGAGGGCCCAGGACCGGCTCAGATAATCGTCACTGGGCATTGGCCGTGAGTGTGAATCG